AAAAAAGTTACAAATAATTCAAAGATGAAGGTTGATAATTCTATAGATTTAAGAGCAGAGGTTCAAAGAGAACAACGAGCAATTCTAACAGTTCGAACAATAACTTTCAGATAGAAAAACGAGCAATAGAACAACAACAAGCAGCGGTTCCATTGAGCTACTGCTAAGTTTTTGTGGCATCAATGTAAACTCTTTTCTTGAGCTTCTCAGATTCTACTCGACTTCAACTATAGTTACTTTTAACAGCAAATCCTACCTACAAAAGAACGGAATGTGCGTTAGATCATGTGTCGACCCTATCCTATGTGACATTTGCGTACCTAAGTGACCGCACCATTGCGACAAGTCTCACCGCCTTCAAATTTCGACGTGCTTTCAGATATGTCGACGACCACCTAATTATTCTGAAGGATTGAGTAGTGGAAAACGGCACTCAATTAATTTCCAACCTCAAGATTTCTTTCTTCAATCAGGACTTAAGTTGAACCGCGAGTCAGCGACAAGGAGAATTTTGCAATTTACATGCTTCAAACTTAACTTCCAGGACTACCATGTACGCTGGTCATATTCTCCTTCTTAAAAAAAAAGTGGTACTTCCTTATGATTTGGCGCACTGCAAGCTTATCAAGAGGGGAGAGTGAGTAGCTGCTTGAGCGCCAAGCTCCAAAAGCATGGCATCCACTTAGACAGAGACAGCTTCAACGCACTAGTACAGAAACTCATCGCCTCTGCGTACCCCTCAAAGATCGTTTCGGATATCAAAGAACTCCTGTTAAAACCAAAAAGGTTACGAGATAGAAACCCGGATAAAGGACGCAGACTAGCAATTGTGCCGTACGTCCACAAAATCTCTCACAATCTAAAGAAGGTGGCTTCAAGGTTTCAGGTGCAAATCTGGCTCTCAGCTCCTGATAAGCTTAAAAGACTTTTCCCAAAGATTAATTCTGAGATATAAAACCAATCAATACTGTGGTGTTAAGCATGCTAAATATACGTTAACAGCCTTGGCGGGTTGTCTATCGAAAAGATTTTAGTTTATCATGTGGAAAAACCTATGACGGCCAGGCACGTGGATGCCTGAGTATGAGGCTCCGAGAACACGCTCTCTCCATCAATTCCTCTCCGGCAGGACATCTGGCAATACACGTTCGAGACTACAAATGCATTTCATTGTTTGCACACACTCAAGTCCTGAAGCGGTTCCCCGACAGGCGCTCGAGAGAACTATTTAAAGTTCAAGCCATTCTATTCGAAGGAGACGCGTATGTCAGTTCACCTTCCGTGAGATTATCAAGTGTGGCTGTTTGGGTTGGTTGGTTGGTCATTTCTTAAAACTTGTGTGTGCGGAGCAAAACGAGGATGAAGGGAGCACATGACACAAATGAGGCGCAACTTCCAACTGAATTTTATTGAAACGAGTTCAGGTATTTCTAGCCAACCCTCGTCAGAAAACACAGTTCAAGACAACCATCACAGAGCATGCGCAGGGTGCAGCTTTATATCGCACTCAGGAAAGGAAGTCTCCTTTTAGATAGCTATATAGAAGGCATAGCGACACACGAATCGCCTAAGAATCAATGCGTTCAGCTTCTACAATGTCACGTGTTATTGTAGTCTTGTTTTTACAATTCTAACGCATGTATCAAACAGTGGGGCACAACCGCATGCCCTACAGTGTATAACAAGAAAGCCACCGTTGCGTTTTTGCTCGTTGTTACAGTGCTCGTGAAGTCGATCATTTAGACGGCGCCCCGTCTGCACGACGTATTGCATACCATAGGACAGCAGAACGCAATATACCACGCAATCTGTCCAGTCAACAAATTTTGGTTGGTGCTTATTTTTGCATCCGTGTTTGGCGGGCACGTCAGACTTTGTTAGTTGGCACAGGTTCATGAGCTTATCGGGCGCGGAAAAAAAATACCGCTGCTCAGACCGAAGTCGGAAGCGAGAAAGCTGTGCGAACGACTCAAACTCAGCAGTGTTGTAAAAAGCTTTGAGAAGAGCAAGCGCGAATACCTAGATGTTTCCTCTAGAGCCAAAATGAACAAACTAGAAATGCCTTTTCGCGTAATAATTTCCCAAGAAGGCACGTTTCAAAAATCAGTTGCACTTGAAAGTGAGCATTTGAGAGAAATCTCTCTGGTTGGGGAGAAACCACAATGTTAAATCCCTCAGTAGAAAAAAAAAAAAAAAAAGAAAACACCGCCGTAGAAGAAGAAAACGAAACAAATGCCTGCTCCTCAACGGCCATAGTCGCGGTCAACCCCTGAAGAAGAAAGAGACCGCGAGCAGGTATCGAAATCTAGGGTTCCCCTTTCAAATAAGGATTTGGTTGGTGCATATCTTCATTTATTATCAATTGCATTGTATCTCAAAGAGCTTAACATGTTGCACTCTGACGGCCTTTCCTCGTCAGGTGTTCTGAAGAAGTTTTACACTTTGTAAAGGCCCACAAAGGAAACGATCTCAGGGCTTTCTCGATCGATGGAATGTACCTTTATTACTCCTTTCCGCATTCGGGCCTGCTATCGTGTGTTGAGGAGTGCATTGACAAGATCGGAGTGGTAGCCTTTCAGAATAAGTCGGGGATTTCTAGCAATGGCTTTTAGAATTACTCAGTTTTCATCTTCGGACAACTTTTATTCAGTGAGATGGCATGCATTACTTGCAAAAGCAAGGTTTATGCATTGGCACATGCATCGCGCTAGTTCTCAACGATTTATTTTTAAACCAACTTGACAGCGCGCTTAACAGCCGGTTTCCAAAATCAGAATAAAATAAAGGTTTTAGATACATAGACACATTTTTAGTGTTTTATCACTTCCGATACCAACGCTTTTAAAGCACAGACTGCGAAAACCCTCACCACTTTTAAGGAATGCATTGGAATGCTCGATGTCACGCCTGAAATGCCCGTTGACAATACTATCCGCTTCCTTGACGTCACGTTTTTATTTCTCGAGGACCATATCTGTTTGTGTTACCAGCCACGTTCGAAGAAGCCGCTGCTTTCTTTTCATTCAGCCCGCTTAGAGTTGGTCAAAACGAATATTGTTAACCTCTGTTTTACCCATGCACTAAACAAGTCGTGTGAGCATTTGAGCTCTGCTGGCTTCGTGCAGCAAGTAATGCGGTTGGCCGCAGTTGGGTACTCCAAGCACTATATTGTTGCGCTTGCTGAAGGCCTTCTGCGAAAGCACTGTTTTGAAGGGAACAGTGGCCGGCCGGGAGACATTAGGCTAGAAAGAAAAAAAGTTGTTTTAATACCGTATTACTTGCCGAGTGTCGCACAATTTGAAGAACGCGTTCAAACGTAGATGACCACTGTTTCATACGTGCGTTAGAATTGAAAAAAAAAAAAAAAACGAAGAAGACTACGATAACGCGTGAAATTGTAGAGGCTGAATGCATTGATAACTTAAGCGATACGTGTGTCGATATATGCCTTCGATATCGCTATCTGAAAAGAAACTTCCGTTTCTGAGCGCGAGATAATGCTGTACGCATGCTCTGAATTGCTTGTTTTGGGATGTGTTTTGTGACGAGGATTGGCAACAAATGCCGGAACGTCTTTTCAATAAAAATCAGTTGGAAGTTGCACCTCGTTTGTGTCCCGTCCTCCCTTCGTCCTCGTCTTTGCTGTGCGCTTACAAGTATTATGAAGCGACATTATCGGCGAAGAAGTTCTTCTATTTGAATCTCTTCTCCCAAGGCCCTATGCAGTTATCAATCTTCTTTCTTTTATTTACAAATTTTATTTCTCTTCTTCTTGTTTGCGAATTCATTTCTAAAGCTTCATTTTTTTCTGTTAAATAAAGTTTAGTAACATTTATTTTACTTGTTTTTTTATTTATAGTAATTTTTATTCCGGGTTCGCAGCCCTTCTGTTTTTTTTCCTCATTTGCTTCCTTCTCTATCTCGCTCTTAATTTTTTCTTTCTCCTCTTAGTAATTCTTGTTTCTTAAAAGTGCGTTGTCAGTCAGCACCCCTGATGTCCACTTCTTCTACTAGTCCTCGTCTTTAGCGTAGTTTGTGTTCATAGTGTTTAACCAACTAGCCCAACAGTTCGCTTTGTTAAAGCCGAGCACACGCGATCATTTTCAAAACCGAGTGTGTGAAGCATCCTTAAGTGTACCATTGCGCAGTCTACCACCATTGATTTGAAATTAACATATATTTTTTTAGCGGCGTTCAAAGACTGAAATTAATATCACAGACACCATTGGATATTTCATTAGCTCAGCCGCAACAAACGTTTTCTTGAAGCGTTTGCTCTCAGCGATGTACAAAGAGTAGCGCACGAATTAAAGGTGAACGTTTCACGGAGTTCTTTAAACTTAAGTAAAGAGAAGCACAAAAAATTTCCTCTCTTTTATTAAAATAATAAAGGCATTTAGATAATTTGAGATATATTTCTTTTTATTTCATAGTTGTATGCAGCATACGATCAACTGCGATGGTGGGGAAGTAGCTTGAACACTGAAACATTACAGAAAGGCAGCGAGTGACATTGTACCAACTACCCACTATCCGTACCAACTAGATCAACTCAAACCGATGAACCACGAACCTGTAAGCAGAATGAAGCTCGACGACGTCTTACCTTTAATACAGTTTTACGTGCCACAAGTCGCGAAGTATGTTCTGACAGCACTAAACATATTTTCATTCTTTGAAAATCGGCACCTTGCACGTTTATCGGCTACGAACCAAATCATCGGGTGTTTTACGTGTAGGAAGCGCAAGAGCAGGCGATATTACAACTTCGCCTATAGAGAGTAGATTTTAAACTACATGCACCAGAGTATTTAAACTTACCTTCGCGTCATTCGGGAGCATTTAATGCGTGATATTATTAATTAGCCTCATAAAAATAATTTATCAGTCTTCCGTAACTAGCAATAGCTAGTCTTTTTTTGTGTTTACCAAAAAGCCATTGCATCTGCGTTGGAGAAAGGGAAGGACAAAAATACCAAGTTCATTACAATGACTTGCAGATTCCCTGGTGGATATCAGAGAAATGCGCAAGCAACGGCTGCTTCCATGGGACGAGGACTTCAGGGGGCTTGCGGCTTCACTAGTGAGACTCCAGAACACGTATGATCTGGACATCAGCGAACTGGCCAAGGGACATCTCCGTACGGAGGTTCCGCGAAGCCGAACAATTTCTGGACGTCTTCCGTTGAGCGGTGCGTGACTTTATTGATCACGGTCCACAAAAATTGAAGTGCGAGTTCACAGCAAATAGTTTTCGATGGCTTCAGATACGTAGCATTGTGAACGCACTTCAAACACGAGATCTCGTTCCGACATAAATTTCGTTCAACATAAGCGCACGGCTAGCCAAACATTCTCAATAGACCAATGCGATTTATTTGAACAATGTTAATTAAGTCAGTATAAAACTTCGACGAGAGGTTAATTAAAAATGTAAAACTTTTGTCGCGTCCCGAAATAATGGCTAATTTCTGTGGTACTTTATTGCGTAGAATGAATATCTTAGTTACAAAGTGCTTTCGTTATTAGACTACACTGTGTTAGGTTAAAGTTACTATATCTATAAGTAATGTCTGCCTTTGAAGAATTTATGAATATTTCTCAGGTCCCTCTGGCTAGACTGGTCTTCTAAAGCGTGAAGCAGTATCTATCACCAGACCTCAAACGGGGACCGACCTTTAGCTGCTCAAAATTTTAAATTCTAATTTGTGTTTACTATATTCAAGGTGCATGATATATTCGTGCGCCACGACAAACCAGCATATATCTCACTTGCAACCAGTCTCCTACCCGATACCCGAAAGAATGTAATTGATTACAATTACAATTACTTTTGCTTAAAAAGCATTTAATGATAATATTTGATTACTTCAGAAGAAAATTATTCAGCTGTTGCTTGAAAAAGTTACCGTTACATTTTCAATCACTCAAGTTTTTTAAAACGACATATCGTTCCGTAAGTTTAAAAACGGGTCTATCGTACTGCCCGTCATTGGACTAGGATCACCGAATTGTAAAATAATTAAATTCCTAATCCACCAATTTTGGTAAACCATTCTTCTGTCAGAGTCTTGATTCGAAGATTCCTTTGTAGGAATCTTGTGCACACGAAGGTGCCTTAAGACAAGGGAGGGAACAAATAGGAACTGTTACTATATACACATATCGCAGTTAAATGAGAGAAGAAACTGTTACAAGTGATCTTAGTACTCCCCAAAGCTATTAAACTACTCTGGTGATTACTTTCTTATAAATGTGTTGAAATTATTATAAAATTGCTTCAAAAAGTAATCAATTACCTCTAATTCGATTACTTGTAATGAGAACCGTACAAGTCTGCAAGTTGTAACTCACCTATCGCGATAAAGAGCAGAGCGCCCTTGTATACGCGACGCAAGGCTGTTGCGCTAGAGTACCATGTGTCAGCTCTCCTCTTCTCACCCACACAGCTCGGGACTGCTTGAACATCAGCCAGGTGGCTCTGGACCAGGGTTTCTATGACCGCGCCGTGGAATGGGTCGAGCAGGCGGTACGCACAGCCGCCGGCGAACGAAACGTCACCGCCTCAAAACAAGAACTGGACACCTTCCACGAGACCGTCGTCAAAGAGGTCATGAGGTTCCACGCTGTTCGTCTTATAGTTACCGACCGCTTAAAAAAACGCAGGGCGGGGCTTATTATGTCAATCGCGCTTCTTGCTTCGTGATCCGTTCTTTGGCGTATACCAATCGGCTAATGCTGCAGTCTTATTGGCTGAGGAGCGATTATGAGATGCGCGAGACTCGCCAAAACCTGCGCCTTTTTAAGTTGCCAGTGACTGTATGCGGAGAGCAAATCGTCTGCTTCTTGCGCAGAATTGGCGGTGACGTCAGAACGACGTCGAACTCCGATTGGTTTTGATTGAAGGGATGGTGGGTAGACCTCGATGCTAGGTGGCTTGATCTCTACCCACTATTTTTTTTCCAGCCAATTAGAGCTTTGTGTTCCGACATAATCGTAACCAGTATGCAAGAAGCAGACGAACTTGCGCTCTGCGTAGGTACTTCGAGATGAAAGCGTGTCCCAAGTGGCACAATGTTTTCGTCCAAAATTTTGTCTTTTTTGCAATTTAGGAGCCCTAAATGTTCAAAGAAGTCAAGGTGTAGTCAGACTTGATACTCTTCGACCAGAGCCTCAGCATTTCGGGCATAAATTGCCATACAGAGCGCATAGTTAGGCTGCACTGTCTGGTTGCCTGGTTGTCATCTAGCGTCTTTGGGCCTCAATTCTCTAGCAAATGCCAGGACTAGGCTTTACCGCCGGTTCTTCGCTTGTCCAATGACATCTTAAGATGTAGCTCATGTCTATGCTCCGTTTCATCCTTAGTATACAACGCTGTCAAAGCTAGTCGCGCGAGCGCGTGGCTTCATCTATTGTACACTAAGTATGAAACAGAGTTTTGCATTTGAGCGAATATGTGGCGAACCACAAAGAAACCAGGCTTGACATTTCTCTGACTAGTTAGGGTAAATAACAAAAGTCATTTTACCTTCACTAACTCCTTGCTGCGAAGCCATATAAGGCCCAATTTACGCTTTTAGGAGTGCGGAAGTTGGGTCAAGGTAGGCTTTCCTCTGGCTTGCTGCTTGGGATGTTGCCTTGAATGCAGTTTGATACAAAGGTGTGCAAAAGGGAACATAAACTATTGTTGTCAGTGAACAGCAGAATCAGGACAAATACAAAAAGAGTTGAAATCTATAATATTTTATACGAAACAAGATTGTGATGCTCACTAAATGCAGGGAAAGGAGGCAATCAGGGTAATGGGCACAACATGATAAAAGAAGAATTCTATCTTAGCCACTGTCGGAAGGTCACTTGTAGCTGACCAACTTACAAGCACGTACAATGGTTGGCTCCAAGTGTTTACTGACGGGTCAACGAATTCCACAACTGCATGCATCTGCAGTGGCATTCGTCATTCCCGATGCCGGAATCGAAGCGTCACACCGCCTCGACTTCGCGACCACGTCAACAAAAGCGGAGCTGGCTGCACTAGCAGCGGCATTAGATGCGCTCCACAACCTCAATCCTTGCAAGAGTTATTCTCTCAGACTCTCGAAGTGCGTTGTCCAATTTGGAAGCTTCAAACCAGGCTCCTTTTCTGGCCCAATGTGTGGCCGACAACGCCCGAAAACTTTGCACGGGAGGATGGCAGTTCGCTTTTCAATGAATTCCGTCACATATGGGTATCACCGGCAACGAATGCGCCCATGCCCTTGCTTCAAAGGCACACAAGGAAGAAAACCCAGTCTTTTCATCCCACGTTATTGCAAAGCGCGCAGACTGCTCAAATTAATTACCAGAATGCGTCACCCCCATACAGAAGTTGCAAGCGGGAATCCTTCTTTATCGCACCCTGAGTCAAAACTAACCAGATCAGATTCCACGCTACTCCATCGCCTTTGTGCAAACTGCGCCTACACACCAACGAAACTTCGCAAGATCTACAGGTATAGTATACCCAACTGCGCCAGATGTGATGTCCCAGAGGACCTTGACCACGTCCCCCTAAATTGTTCTCACTACGATCAAGCTCGACGGTCCTTTTTTACCACCATCCTAAGTGCCAGCACAACTGTGACTTAAAAGAACGAAATCCTTTTTCCTACCGGAGGTCGACGAAGAAAAGAACTTGTTTATAAATCTCTTCTTGAGTACCTCTGAGCCACTGGACTTGCAACGCGCCTCTAGCTCACCGGCCCGCCACCTAGACACGCCTTCTCGTCTCAACTGTCATCGACTAATTTGTGATCTCCACACCGAAGACAGTTCTGTAGTGTCCCCTCTCCCTCAAGAAATTAGCCGTCTGGTTCGACCCTACTCATCCAGAGATTGGTGACCAAATCACCCCAACCCATCTTCTCTTCTTTTCTCACCCTCTTTCCCCGCCTGTGCGAGTTTTTCCCCTGTCCAAGGAGGCTAACATTACGTGCAGGCATCCCCTCTTCCCGTGTGTAACAAAAACTCAGCAACAACATAATCAGGGAAAGTGAAAAAAGAACACTAAACAAGTAAACGAAGCGAGTTGGCCATACTGTAATGATTCAGAGTGCGAAATGCTGCCCTCAACTGTAGCACCTTAAACATAATATTAGGGATGGGCAAAATACATGCAAATATGTATCAAACTACAAATACAAAATACTTCGTCAAAAACGTTTTTAATTACAAATCTAATTACATTTCCATAAAAGCATTTAAGCACAAGATACAAATACAACCTAATGTATTTGGTCTCCTCCAAATACTTTTCCAAATACATTCCTCAAAATTTCCGTCAGCGACTTCAGGGCACCTGCAACGGGTTTCTGGGTATCTGATTCTAATTTTGCATCGCACACTCGGGAGTTAGTGTGCAAGGCTCTATTAACGTAATAGAAATATAATCACAAAAAAAATGTAATAAGCTTGGACATAATAGGTGAAAAAAGGTACAGAGCTTCGAGCAGCTTTTTTGTCGATTACATTTTGGTATAGACCAACAAAGAATCGAGACAACCAAGACGCGCAGTACTAGATAGAGAATTTTTTATTGTTGTAACTCGCACCAGTTCTGAAAATCTGGAAGACCCGCGGATTTAGAATGTTCCAGTAAAAAATATGAATGGAAATCAGGCTGGAAAGCCTCACAAGTTGTCACAGGCATTTATTTAGCCAGTCTGCCTGTGAAGGTCGATTTCGTTACTATTCTTGCCCTGGACTAGCACCGTAATCACAAAGTCACTAAACGCTTGCGCTTGATTGAGAGACACTGCATTCGGTGCAGAACGTAGTTTTCTTCCTTCTCTGGACAGTGACATTAAATTTGAGGGATGTATTTTCGCCCACAAAATTGTATTTAATTACAATTGTATTTGAAATACCTACATTTTAGTATTTAAATACACACTTCGAATACATTACCCAGTTTGTAATTAAATAAAAATGCAAAATACACAAAGTATTTGAAATACTGCCCATCCCTGGATGAACGAAATAAAGACACACGACGGACAAATATACGCTGCAGTTTCCGACCTTTGATAGGTTTACTACACAAATTCCTATAGCTACATTCGCAGTAGCGGAGCTTCAGCCCGAGTCGTTTCAATATCACGGGCCGAATTCAAATTGATGCACTTACGTAGGTTTGAATCTATTCTTATCTGTTCTCTCATTTTGTTACCCAACAGCACGATGAAAATCTGGATACCACGCAAGAAACAACAGGTGGGACAGTTGTTCGAGGTGAAGCTTTTGTGAACGACTATTTTATATTCTTGGTAACACTGATAAGGCAATTTTTCCTACTTTAGATTTATTTCGTAGTTCTGTTGGTCGACGAGGGCCCCCAAGCGCTTTTTTTTAGTTTCATATTTTGGTTATTATTGTTTATGTTCAGTTATTGTATTCGTCTGAAATATATTGCTCGAAAAATTGGTATTCCGTCAATTAGTTTAAAATTAACCGGAGGCGCTGCTTAGGGACTCAGAAGGGATTTTCCTTTGCTCTTTACCGCGAAGTTCGGTATTGCCCTGCCCTTTTTCGTACCCCTCTTCAAATCTGATTAATGCCTGCCTCCACCAAACATCTCCTCGTTTACCTTTCACTTATACAGGGTGTTTCAAAGAACGCAGGCCAAATCGGTCCTGCGAAAACTACCCATGGCAACAAAAAAGACTTGTGGCGTCTTGGTCCTGGGCCAGGGGCCCATTTAAGAAAATGATTAAAGTCCGGGATAATTAAGTTGTTAATTATTTTTGCGTAATTAACTTTTTTAATATTGTGTTTAAAGGCATGATTTAAATAACAAAATTGCTCAGCATCATCGAAAAACACTAAATCAACAAATTGCAGAACGATAGAAAGCACGCGAAGCATTTTACGGCTTTCTGAAAAACGGCACAAATTCGGCGGGTTTTTAAGTTTCGGTTTGCTATCGGAGCGCATCTCAGCCCCGGCGGCACCGCGCTTTTTGGAGAGAAAGTGCAACCAGCCTCTGCTGCGTCGCTCGATGACAGCGCAGCAGAGGTTGGTTGCACTATCTCTCCACGGGGCGCTGTGCCGCCGGGGCTGAGATGCGCTCCGATAGCAAAACGAAACTTAAAAACCCGTCGAATTTGTGCGGTTTTTCAGAAAGCCGTAAAATGCTTCGCGTGCCTTCTATCGTTCTGCAATTTGTTGATTTAGTGTTTTTCGATGATGCAGACCAATTTTCTTATTTAAATCATGCCCTTAAACACAATATTAAAAAAGTTAATTACGAAAAATAATTAACAACTTAATTATTCCGGACTTTAATACTTTCCCTAAATGGGTCCTTGGCCGAGGACCGAAAATCCATAAGCCTTTTTTCGTTGCGATGAGTAGTTTTCGCAGGAGCGATTTCGCCTGCGTTCTCTGAAACACCCTGTATATTTCAAAATAATACAAGCTAATATACTTCGAGACAGCCTAAAAAACAAACAAAAGAACGCGGGAATGATTTAGCGTGTTCTCGCTTTTTGCCTCGTGATTCGGACCACGTCGCTCTTATCAACAAATGTTGTCGTCACATTGATTGCGGAGCGTCGATAAGGTTCCCAGAACTCGCCACAACCTGAGTTGTTTAAGCTCTCGTTGTCTATAGCTAATACCATCTGAAAAATGTTCAACCAAATCTGGTGTTCATTACAAACGAAAAGAATAATACCGTCATCTCATCTGACAGCCAATAAAGCATATAGTTACATAAAAAATAAGTATGTTAGATACAAGACCTCATTATAGACCAACTCTTGTGTTTCACGTCACGCTACTGCGATGGCGCTGTTGTCTGCACTTCACAGTGCAGCCGCAAACGCGCAGACGATGGCGAAAAAACAATAAAACGAGTCAACCTACACATTAAATATCAAACAAAGGTCTTCTCGTGTGAACCATCCCGAAAATTGCCTTCAGCATGCTGCCTTCCTCGAACGTATAGTGGGCGGTGGAACGCGTTCTGCGCGTGCACCGTAGTTCTTTTGCATCAAAACACCAGACGCATCGCATGGATGTACAGAAGAGCAGTGGAAACGTGTACAAGGGATGTACAGTATTAACAGTCACAGTTTCGTCCTCTAGCACTCAACCGATGCTCTGCCGGTCTAAATGTGAATTGAATTAATAGAATGAAAGTAAATCTGTGCTCTCTTTGTTTATAGCACAGGAACGTTATACCCCCTTCACGCGGGCTACCTAAAGGATCTGTAACTTATGTCCCTTAGATAAAAGTAGCTGTATCAAAAGGCGTTCGGAATCGCACGGCAAATAAACAGAGGGTCTAGGGTTGATGTTTATTGCACCGGTGATAGCCCGGCTAAACCGAGGGGCGAGCGAGCAACATATAATTTTCGGTCTAAACGGATTTGAGACACAATTTTTACTTCCTTGGTAGTGTAATATGTCGTTTCAAAACGAATTAATAGTTGTTTTATTGATTTTATTGCATGGTGTGAGTAAAAATCAGCTTTTCTTTAGAATGTCTCGCTGGTTTGGCCGAATCGCCCGCCGCGTTATCTAACCCAAATCCAAAGAAGGGGGGGGAGGTACACAAGGTGCGAAACGTGATCAAAAACTCTCCGTGTTTCCCCGAGTTCGCTCTGCTACTTCTTTGCGTCTGCCTCCGGTTCTTCTCAATATAGAACCTCTCGAGACCGAGGCGGAGCGTCTCGTACTCTCCGGCGTTCTTGCTTTGTCGCCGGAGTTCGCCGATGTTGTCCTCCCAGAGACAAATTAGCGACCATGTTTCTGCCTCGGACAAGTGAACTCGAGGGCCTTTCTTACTGGTGCCGCTAGTTCTGGCACGCAAGTTCACACTTCCACCAAGTGCAATCGTGGTCACAAAAATGCTCTGGGCAGGCGGAGCGGACGACTCGTCGTCGCTACTGAAAGTAGAGTGTACTCACTACTCAAAGCACGTACAGTCACCATTGCGTTTGGGCCACCGCTGCTGCCCGCTGTCGCGAGTATAAATTTGTCGCTACCGTCTTCCATCAGGTTTGTGCTCACGTTTATTTTATAATTTTTGCCTCGCAAATATTCTTTTTATTACACTGCAACATACAAAGCAGAAGCATATATGCTGGATTTGTATCTGGAAAACATGGGTCCGAGGCAACTCCCTGTAGTTGTAAAGGGTGGTCTGCCGAGCTCCGTTTATTCTAAACCTTTCTTTAGCGAAAGGGACCTTCCTGCGCCGTTTGATTTCGAACTCCATCTTTCGTTACAATAAGGATCTATGCTAATGGTACCTTGATGCCGCCTGTGTAAATGGGGTTTCAGTCAGCCCCACTGGTGTATCCACTGCAGATAAAAAATTCAGCCAGTGCAGTACCACCGCTACTCTGGGCTTTTTAAGGTGCCCCACGCAGTAGTAATTCAAGACCGCACTCCGGTACGATGATTATCCAGATCGAAACGGGCAAGAGTGGCGATCGCACCCGGGATACTTGGGTTGTGCTATTTGAGCGTTCACTCTACGTGCCCTGAGCTGCCGTGCGTTAACTCATTTCTGTAGTTCGTCATACTCTGAATCGGCCACATGTACGTGGTTCCGTAACTTTTTTTCTCCAGCATGGGAAGGATTCTTTTGGCAAACATATGGAGTACCCGTACGAGATCGTATGAAGCGGTCTAAAGAGTACAAGGCGGAGCTCTTCCAGGAAGAACCGCAGGAGTATCAAGATAGCCAGAACTACAAGCGACTTTGCCGCGGAGAGCAGCTCAGGGTAAGAGTCCCCCTCCCCCTCTTCCTCTGCCTTATTTGGAACGGTCACACGAAGGAAAATAACGAATTTTTTTTAACACAACATATTTTTTTTTGTCAGCCGAATTCTGAGAAAACCGGCCACCCGAAGAACCGTCAGGAAGGACTATATGAACTCAAGTGAGACGACGACGCCATTATGACGTCGTAAAACGTCATATTGTGTTATAAGGAAACTACCGGGATGTCATGACATCCCCTAACATCGTGACCTCACATGAAATTACATGATGTCATAATTATGTTACGTAAGGTAATGACGTCATCATATGCCAACAGAACGTTATGACGTTATTTTTACGTTATAATGACGCGTCATATTGTAAAGTGACGTCACAGCCCCTCGTGTGACGTGACATGACGTGACACAAAAAAGGTGACGTGATGTGTCAGTCATGTGACCTAATGACGTAACGTTGCATCACACTCACACACGCACACACATGGCCGTGTGCCGAGCTCATTTACAACTACCCGGTGTTTGTCGGCATCATCAAGTTAGTGTAATTAATTTCTTTAAAGGACCACAAAACCACTTTTTGCTCTAGTATGTTTATTTTAATAACTCAATCCGGATCTCAATCTGACTCAACATCGTTACCTTTTTTATTATTATTATTATCTGAAACGCACAAGGACGGCGCAATCTAATGAACCTCTTCAAAAATTTTCATTATAAAAAAAACATTTTTTAGTGTTCGAAAGATATCGTCAAAAAGCTACCAACACCACCAACAGAGTAAAGACGTCCACTTTTTTTTGTTTTTTGATCGGAGTGTTTTTTTTTTACAACTGCATTTAGAAGCAACTACGCCGGCCCTACGTAGTTCATTCGGAAAAAGTTGATCTTACTTTAATACTTCGCATGAATACGATTTAAGCAGGAGGTGTCATGCGCTTGTGTCGGCATCCTCAGTAACAGTATACCCCGAAAGTGAAACAGGCAAAACAGGCGAAACAGATTGGTAGCAAAACGAAAGAGGTCGACTCAAACAGACAGCGCACTCTGCAGAAATCGGCTTTGAAAATATATTAAAATATTGATTAAAAAAGATAATTCGCCGACGATATTTTTTATGATTCATGGAACTCTAGAATATGGAATGTACGATACTTTAACAATCTCAGTCCAGAAAGGTCTTTAGTCGTCATGCTTTCCAACATGTTCTTTGTATATTTACGAGGTATTTGCGTGCCCCTTCAACAGACACTCAAGATGGACAGCCAGTTGAGGTGTCGCTACTACAAGGGCCAAGATGGATTCTTTAAACTACAGCCCATCAAGCTCGAAGAATTCAACCTGAAGCCTTACATCGTCGTGCTGCATGACGTTATCCAAGATAGAGACCTCGAAGAATTGATTGCCTTCGCTAAGCCTAGGGCAAGAAATACCATACCTTTATTTATTTTTTTAAATAACGTATAATTTACTAACGAGGCACCCAAAGCTGCAACGTAAGTTAGTATTGAAGGGAACGTCGTTTTCAACTTATGCGTAATGTCCTGGTTAGGAGCGCAGTCATCGGAATTGGTAACGGCCCCAATGGTTGGACGCCTCCGGCGTAGGACAAAGTTGATTGCTTTAAACTTTAATTTGAGTAAGGTAGAACCGCTAGTTAAGCAACGCTGCATTTCTCCGCCAGTTCACTCATATTCGTGCTTAAAGACCGACGACCAGTTCACAGTTCCCACTTCTCCCCCAATTCCTTCTCTCCCCCCCTTCTACCCTGTCCGCCGTTGTCTGTTTCCTCCTCCCTATGGTAAGGAGGATCTTCTGCCTTGCAGAATCTCGAGTCTGGTCGTCGGCCTTTAAGTTTGTTCTTCCCAGTTATCTAATACTTTATCTGAGATGAGAGAAAACGCGTTTCCGACCGCCAGAAATTTTGAAACAGACGCGGCCAGAACAAACAAATATACCCTGAGCTTGTTGACACCGCATCCAAAGCGAGGGAAGGTTCATTTTCTAATCGCAACTCTAGGCAATTACGCGCGTTATGTAATTAGCGCCAAAAAGACCCACAAGGAAATTGGCGAACATAAACGCCGATGTTCTAAGCATAGCCTATTCACAGGCTTTAAGTAATGTAGGCCCATTGTATGCGGTGTCATTCTCGATACAACATGGCATTGATGTTTACAGTTTAAAGTAGTGCGATCTAGAAAATAGTGTCAGGGAACCCGCTCACATTCATGGACCACGCTGTATCTTCTTGTTACGATTTTCTGGTTCCCCAGCCTGATTTCATAGGTTCTCAAGGTCGCTATCGGCAGCATCACTTTTATTACCTTTCTTCTTTTTTTTTTTGTGGGGGGGGGGGGGGGGATTGTTTTGGGGTCTAGCGCTACGCTCAGCCTTGCCTAGGCGTTCAGTGACTGTAGACAAAGTATTAACGTAAAGTCTGATAACTTGTAAGCCAAATTGATAGTTATCATTGCAGGCTTCTTTTGAGTTTTACTTTGCGCCTTTATTTGTCTTTTCCACCACAGCTGATGATATCGAAAACGTACTCGGATGACATGGAACTATCTCCAATTCGCACAAGCTCAAAGTAAAACATTCATTTTTCAATAATCATTAAAACGTACAATTATAGTGATGATAACGTTAGATACCTCTAAAGTAGGGGCATATGTTACTCGATGGGGAATAAAGAGCTAACAACGCGAACAGCAACAGATGAACACACACGACAGTACAAAGCTGTACTCGGAGCTGTAGAACCGAATAGAACAAAACAGCACTAAGAAAACGTACGGAAATACACCGGGCGTTACTTCCGTCGGCGATAACAGTTGTATGTTTTCTTCATGCTGTTTCTTCTAACTAATTCTACAGTTGCGAGTACAACTTTTGCCTGTCGTATGTGCTTATTTTTCGCTGTCCGTGCTTTTTTAGCTGTTTATTCCCTATTATGTACATACAACGACGACCCAAAGGCCAAAATTAAATTCCATCAAACTGGTAGTAGTGCATTGCAATTCTAAAGATACAACATAAAAATTAGATTACAGGAGGACGCTTAAGCTTGGCCTTTAGGAGTGGAACGCGGTATATAAAATATAAAGCCCCGCTCGTTTCCAAGCCGTGCTAGCGCGTCTGCGTGGCGTGGTCGCTGGTGTGTCTGCGTCCCAACCGAAGGTTCGTTTGTTTGAATCCACCCGCCTAATATTCTTTTAATCTTTTTTTGAAAGGCAAATTAATTACTTTATAATGTGAAATTGCTTGAGACACGCGCGAGGTCATGTAGCTGTGACGTCATAAGCCAATCGACTCATCAGGATTTTCCCGTTCGCCGTCGACATCGGACGCCGACGCCTAATTTTCTGCGGTCGAGCTCCTTAAAGCTATTGTTTCAGAAACTTACGATTGCTTGTTCGAACCAAATCTTTCGCACTCTGCGCAATTAGTACAATATGTCGTAAGGCTGCGCTGGCGCAGTTCGTTAAGCAATTGACGCCTATTTTTTGTCTAATCTCACATTGCATGCCCAGTAAATACATATGTAGCGAGATATCGGTATGACACAATAACTCCATATGTCCGTAACGTACTGACTCCGTCTGGGTCATGTCGTGTTTAACTTGCACATTATTTTTTTGCAAGAGGCCAAAACAATTGCAGAAAGAGTTTTGTAAGATGGCAACCGGGGGATGAGTACTCCCGTCCGCCATTTCGGGGCTCTGACTCACAGGAACTCTATACGATTTCACAGGAATAAAGAAGAGAAAGAAGTAAACAAAATTATGTGTTATCGCGAAATCCGCTGGTTCTAGCTGGCAAAAGCTCTGCCCGTTGGCCAAACTCTTTCTGTATAAAGGTGTCTGAGTCAGGCTAGTCGCTCGCGCTTCCGCAGCCTTCGCAGTTAGTCCGTGCTAAGGTGAGACGAAGTTTCATAGAGTCACTGAAAGGTTGAGCACAATTGGGATATCGTTGAGCTGTCCCTCCTCAAGCGGGAGCTTCCTACCGTTGGTAACGTTTCGGCGTATTCTGAGCCTCACGCGCGCACGCGAAGCTAAAGTATGACCAGAGTCCTCCTCAATAGACCTATTTCTAAATTACCCAAGCATGAGGGAGAATGATGGGAATGTAGGTTCACGTGCCGCATGCGCTGGCGTCTGCAGCAGTGACTGTTCTAAAGCAAAAGCCCCAAAAGCAAATCGAATCTTGCACACGTCTTCGCCGACGCCTTATTTTGGGCTTTTACTTCAAATTTTTATACGGGGAAGGTGAAAGTGTGCGGCGCGAAGGCGAGTGTGTGTGGCACCATTCTCAGCATCCTCCTTGATCAACGTTACTAGAATAACTGAAAAACTGCCATCAAGCCTGCTCTGAAGAAGTGTCATCCGATTCGTACTCGAAAACCGAACTAATGGCGATTGCAACGCCGCCATTTCTCCCGCAGTGGTCACCCGCGGAACCGCACGGCTGCTTGTATTGGCTCGGGAGTATCGCATTCGATAGTGTCCGCCGTGATCGTAATACTTTGGCTTTAGTCGGTCAATCTGGCTGGCGCCATAACATAGAGAGCGGGCTGGCTTCAGGGATGCCAACCCCTGCCTCCCAAGCGATCGCGCCGCGAATTGCCACCGAAGTTAGGACGCGCTACCTGAAATCACCGGTGAGACATAGTTGTATGAAAGCAATAGTGATTGTGCCTCAAAACCTTGTAAACTAAATATTTTAGGAGATATCACGTGCCTGTCTTTCTCTACTAATATAAAAAAAAAGTTTCAACAAAAAAACATTTTCGTTTGCTTTTAAGCAAAAAAACAAAAAACAAAAACAAAAAAAAAAAAACATGTTTTCTAAACGCTCATAATGACAACAGGAGAAAAAAAAATCCAGTTGCCATTTTTGCGGTATTGAGCCTTGCAGTTTCGGTACTTTGACTCCAGTTAAGGTTGGGTCGCGCAAGCGCCGATAGTGCTATCTCGCAGTGCCATTTCGCAGTAGCTATATAGATCAACTTTCGAGTTTCGACTCGTCGCTGAAGGGCGGCGCTGCTATCCCATTCAGCTCGTCCTCGGTGGACGCGAGCGGTTTGAGTTTCAAGGGTGAGTTTCTCAACTGAGGTGTTTCAGTAACAATATCCTTGATGCTTGCGTGCATCAACGAAGATGCTTTGATGAGCCTCCCAAAATTTGCGGTTACAAGTTGTTTACAAAACGCAACTTCTCGAACACCGACGTTTTTTACGCCTGTAATTGGTCGCAGTATTCTAGCACCGGTCACTGTTTTTTTATATCTAATAACAAAACAGAAATAAGCTTTTTTGGGGTTTATTTTTAAAAGGAAACGGTGTATTTGCAAGCGAAAAAGAGCCTGGCAATTAAAGGGACCATGAAATGATTTTAAAATCGAGTTTCATCCACCGCACGTCGTAAAAAGTGTGAAAAGAAACACAAAAACACAAAAATAGGGAGCCAAAAAAAATTATTTGCTATAGAACTTTTAAAAGAAAACTGGACTCTTTTGCGCCTTCCTTCCTTCGCCTGTTCACTACGATGCATCCGCGGAAATGGAGCACGTCAGCCAAATCCAGGTCGCCTATTGGGTAAGAGCCTACCTCACCAGCTCCGCGATCGTAAACAATAAATAGCCGGCGAATGTTTCCTAAAAGTTTTGTTAAATAATATTCAGATCCACATTTTGTAGCATAATTCGAGATGTGTGGCGAAAATTGCCAAATTTGATAATGCTGAGAGCCAAGCGCCATCTATCGTGTGGTAAACGAAGCAACTACTGCGCGTGCGCAGTAGGGCAGGGCCGAGCCGACAGTTACTTGGGTGGCGGCGGCCGCCGACGAACGTTTATTTTCTTTGTTTTCCTTCCTCTCAAAACTCTGACTGACTGAACGTTCATTTTTCTACGTGTTCTTCCCGCGCGTGCCGACTTCAAGCAGCAAGAAAACAGTACTTAAAACAGACCACGACGAACAAGAACGCTGGATCCACCGACTCCGACGAAGCGAGGTGCTCAGAATATAGGCCTAGCAGGCATTCCGACTCGGCGCTGCGTTGCTTCGTCGGAAGACCGTCTGCCTACGACCGGCTGGCGTGCTAAATGGAATATGCCCGCGCGACCCTTGTGGACCCTTCCCGTATTATAGTTTGATCACTGACCTCAATTATAGATTAAGAGGTGAGGCCAATCTCTTCCCCTTGTTTTCCGAGGCAGTGTTGACGAACACTCGTCGAAAAGGGACTCTCGTCGATTCTATCTTGTTTTGTGTGATATAGAGCTGAAATAAACGCCGTATGGATTACCTTCGTAACACGGTATGTACACTTTGTTATTGGTATGCCATTTTTATTCTGACAGACTGCACGTCACTGTCGAGCTATAACAGTTCGTGGGAGGTATACGTACAACCCCGGTCCAACCTTTCTTTGCCGAGTGTCGCGTCAGTATCGAGTTGCAATCGTAAAAGAACGGTCCCGAAGCGCTTACAAACAGCGCGAATACAGCACTTCCATCGAACGCGCGCGTCCGCTCCGAGTGTAAACAGGTATTTACGTGGCTCTTGCTGACACTCGTAGTTCAAACGTATCTTTTTTAACGTCGGCTCGCTCCTGCATCTCCGAGGCCGCGAAAAACGCCATCTACGTCGCTTTGCAAACGACTGACACGGGCCGGCCCTTCTGCCAACAATGACGGGGTGGTTGACTTCTGGAGTCTTCACCGGAAGACTCGCTGCACTTCCCAACAGGCATACCGGCGTATGGGACTAGTCCCATGCTGTCGCTGTAGCGCAACATATCTCATTGAATTTCGCTCAGCTGCGATGCGGAGAGGCGCCGATTCAGGAAATACGTCGGTGACATCAGCGCAGTAAAACCTACCGGCGCACCCCAACTCGTTGCCGCTAACACTCTCATTCTCCTATTGCCGAGAGAACTTCCGGTTCCGGAAACGGTTTACGTCACGGCTTCTTTTGCGGTCAGTTGGAGAGAATGAAAAAGTCGATATTTCAATAATTTTTTGTGTAGAAGTTAATAAACCGAGACGAAAACGGATGCCTGTTCGGCATTCAGTGAACATTGACGGTTTAATGTGAAAGTTATCTGGAAAAAGTAAAAAGGTCATTTCATGGTCCCTTTAAGCGTACGGGTTCACAGTGCCTCTATTTGATGGCGCTACTCACGGCGCTAAGTTTGACGGCGATACCGGTGTTAACAATTCATTTTGAGGTAAAAAGAGGAATGAGGGATAATATTATTTTGAAAAACGTCTCTGAAAATAAAGCTTGATTAGTTGACTGCAGTGTGCAGAGCTGCAGACGCTTACAGAACAAGAAACGCTGTCACTGCAATCAGGGCCGTAACCAGGGGGGGGGGGGGGGGGGGGGGGGAGGGAAAGGGTTAGGGGTTCTGACCTCCCCCGAAATTTTTTTCTGGGTACGGCCCTGGTCGGGTACTCTTCCGGCCAGCTGATTTTAATCTCCACCTCTGCGTACGCGCAGTGGCGCCGGTCGGCTACCGGGTACCACACCGGGACCGGTTCTCCGGTTTGCTATAACTCTCCATTATATGCCACCGATGCACATGATTCATAGGCGAAAATAAGACAATAGACACTTTCAAAATGGCCGCCGTTGTCCCCGAACCCCCCCCCCCCCCCCCCCCCCCCCCCGCCCCCGAAATTTTTTTCTGGGTACGGCCCTGACTGCAATGATGCATCACTGCGATCTATTGGTGGCTGGTACAACCTGGGCTCGAAAGTTGGATACCCCTTTTTTGTTGCCAGACTCAGAGCAGTGATGACTAGATTTGCGGTACTTGGCCCTCCGTGTCGACGCTAGCGCCGCGCGTGGTCACGTACCAAGCTCTGCCAGCGTTACGGAGGGGTTTTGTGACCAGTAGTGTATTGAATGACTTTGGTTCGACGGAAGGCAAAGAACGCGTGTTGAAGGTCGGGTTTTCTATGAATTGCGATAGCATTCGTCATGATGCTCACGACGCAGCTCGCTGTGAATACGACGACGCAATCATTAACGTCAGCGCGACTGCGGTGCGCCACTTTGAAACTGAGCGAATGCTTCGTCTCTGCATAGTCATTTGATCTTCAGTCTCTGCGGAATCGTTTAATGTTCAGGCTGTTTCCCCGCCATCATTACAGCTTCGTGTGTGTGTCTTGTCCTGTCTCTGCGTAATCATTTAATGTTCAAGCTGTTTCACCACAATCATTGACTATTTACCAACTAGCTCGACTAAAACCGATAATAGACCGGTCTCACAAAGCTTTCGGCACATGCGTGAAGCCGCCACAACTTTAGTTCGCAGAAGACGGGCGGAAGTGCCCGAGACATCTAGTGCTCGGCACGTGCAGAGCAACAACTAGGTTTTGGCGCGTTCAGAAATATTTAAGTTCCCTCAATTCATTGCGGCAGCGGCGGCGTACCCAAACTTGCCGGTGAAATCGGTTTATTGCTTCGTAGCTTAGGCGCACATGTGAATGTATGGGTACTGCCGCTCCGTGCATGCGCGGCGCGGGTTTACATGCTCGCTAGGACGACGCCTACGACGACCTCTATGACGACCTCTCGGGCGATCTCAAGGACGACCTCTTGTATGATCTCTTAGATGACCTCTTGAATCACTTCTTGGATGACTTCTTGGATGACCTCTTAGACGACCTAGAGGACGACGTCTAGGCCAACGTCGAGAACGACGTCCTAGAGGATGAGGTCGAAGACGACGTCTAGAAGGACCTCTAGGACGACCCTAGGGTGATTTTAAGACGACCTCAATAACGGCGTCTAGGAATACATCGAGGAGGACGTATTACAGGACGACGTCAAATGTGACGTCTAGGTCGACCTCTTCGACGATTTCGAGGACGACGTCCGCATACGCGTGGCGCATGTGTATGTGGACGTCGTGCCTATGCCGAGGCGCCGCGCCGCCGCCGCATTCGAACGGCCCATACGCGCGCTGCACATACGCACGGCTCATTTAAGGCCAGACCCCGTATTGCGAGAACCGGGTGAAGTAGCTAAAGAATGCCATCGCAATAAAAGAAACCCCGCAGTCATAGAGTGCGCAAATCTGCAAGAACTTTTATAAAGACCGGTCTGAAAGTTGTATGCCAAAGCTACAGCGAAACTTTGAACGGTGTGTGTTTTTAAAACGCTTTTGTTCTATCGTTGCTGCCAGTACCTGGCTTTTTGAACAGAATGCTACCATCGCAAGCAGACTGAATCGTTACCTAAGGGCTCTCTTAGGTATGGGTACCTCGGACAGCAATTTCGAAGCGGAGCCATACCAGGTGAGTGTGTTTTCTTATTATTGTTTCAGAATGGTTTGGCATGTGGACCGCGTGACGCGGTTAGCGGGAACAATACATAGGCGATAGTTTCAATTTTATTTCCAAAGGGTATTGTCAGGCAAATCATTTTGCCTTATTGGGTTGGCGTTTTAAGTGAGCACTTTCCACCACTACAGTAGGTTTGACGATAGCCGATTGACTTTAAGAGAAAAACAAGCAACACCGGCGATCATTTGTTCGCGCTAATATTGCCGCGCAGTGTACGTTTGGTAATGCCGTGCATTTGAGGGGAAGGCGAACGAGCCAATCAATACTGCTTGATTTTTATTTACTATTTTTCATGCAGCCAGGCTTTATACCGGAAGACGTAGGTTAGCTCTGAATTATCATGCGTCACGGGAGCTTCATTAAAATACTAAGATTGAATGAATGTATATAAGAGTACATTCAGAAAAGGAAAGAAGAAAGACCAGCATTGAAAAAAAAAAAACAAAAAACCTTCACTCCTGATATGTTACAAACCCCCTAAGTCTTTGATGCCCCCTCAGCCCTTACATGCCTTTAGCAGTACGAACACCCTCAGCTTTTCAATCATTTCAGATATCAGCTTTATCCCTCCATGTCCTGATTATACAGGGTGTCTTTTTGAGCTTTACAAATTAGTTTAAAAAAGCAATGAAAGCTACACTTACGCGGTTTGTGCTGGTGACTTACACGGCCAGTGAGGCATAGTATAGGGGATAATCGTAAATATCAGTCGGCTAATAATTACATTTTGTTGATTCACTTTTTAATAAGTTAAAATAGACATGGTTTTAATTAGAAACTTGCTAAGCATAATTGAAAATCACCAACTCACATTTTTTTAGGAGCATATAAGAAAGGGACAGCATTTTACGGCGTTCCGTAAAAACGCTCAATTCGGACGCGTTTCTAGGTTTCGTTTTCTTATCGGAGCGCATCCGAGCGCCCGCGGTCCTGCTCCCTGGTGATCGCGGCGCGAAGCCACCGCCTCGCCTCTTTCGTGGAATGAAGGAAACTAGGGCGCACGTGTGTTGCGCGTCACAGCCATTGTGGAGCAGGACAGAAGGTGCACAGATGCGCTCCGATAAGAAACTGAAACGTAGAAATGCGTCGAAATGGAGCGTTTTCACACAACGTAAAATGCTGTCCCCGCGTTATATCCTTCTAAAAAGAGTTGATTTAGTGGTTTTCAATGACGCTCAGCACAGTGGCGTAGGCAGAGGGGATGGGGGGAGGGGCGGGGGGGCGGCGGCGGGGTTTGGGGGCCGTTTTTTGTCACGCGAATCGCTAATAATATAACGTAGGTGCACTAGGGTTGTTGGAATTCTTCTAGTAGAGTGTTGAGTATTGCATGCCAGACGTGGGACGAGAGAACACTGCGTGACCGTTCGCTGTGACCGGCCGACACAGAATGGCCAAGCGGCTTCCCCGACATGGAGACCTCGATGGGTTCGTCAGCCACTTTACAATACTAAGAATGGGTCACGTGAATTTCCGCTAGAGGTATTGACACAGCGACTCAACACTGCGACTTTACGTGACCTAACGTAAGGGGGTCTCGGATGTCACGGGGCGTCAGGAGCCATATGCATGACGTTTCATCTGGTCCCTGATGTTGCATAAAATCAGTATTGAGTAGTAACGCGTACTAGTAACGCGTTACTGTAACTTCGTTACTTTTTTGGTAACTTGTAACTGTAAGGAGTTACTTTTTAAAAATGTAACTTGTAACTGTAGTTCTATTTCTTCTTTTTAGGTAACGATGAAGGTAACGAAGTTACTCTTGTCGTTACTTTATTTTTTTTTATTATGAGTAATATATCAATGAACGAGTGCAGTCTAGCTATTCCTTGGACTTTAAAGTTGTCTGTTCCCACATTTCGAGTGTAAAGTTGGCCTTGCACACACTTGTGAATACGTTCTTTCTCGCGAGTCACGACCCGAATATAGCCATCTGTAGATTTGACGAAAACAAATCTGGTTATCTTTACTCACACGCTTGTACTTTGCAACTGAACACTTTTATCTTAGTATCTTGAAGCACTACCTACGTGCTTTTTTTTTGTTTTTTTTTTGCTAATGCTTTTTAATCGGATGTATCAACCGTGAAACGACAATACATGCGGAGGGCATTCATTGCGCATGTTTTGTATTTTAATTTGCGCCACTACTCTGGCGTGGAAACTTTCAAACACAAATTTCGACAAGCAACTGGTGCTAAGTTACAATATGAAGTAAAAATCGTACTTTTTTTTAAAATTTTATGCCATAAAACTTGGTGACGGGCGTTCCTAGTTTTCCTTAATTTTTTTGTGTTATAGAAAAGTAACTGAAAAGTAATGTCGTTACTTTTTAAAAGTAACTAACTGTAACGAGTTGCTCTTTTGTTGCGGTAACTGTTCAATCAATCAATCAATCAATCAATGTTTATTTTTCTCTTGTGCTAACCAACAGCTCGATAGCCTACTGGGTTAAGCACACACAATTGAAATACACCCAAAATACAGAGTAGACAAAATAAAGAGTTGTGAAAAAAAACAGCTAAGTTACTGTACCAGTAACTTAGCTACTTTTTTCTGAAAGTAACTGTAACCGTAACGAATTACTTTTTAAAAGTAACTTACCCAAGACTGCATAAAATTGGTACCTATCAAGGCGCGTTTGCACTGGCAAGTCGCAGCAGTCGGGCGACAACTTTTGTCGTAAAAGCGACAGTCGCAAATCCAGAAAAAGCGACCGGTTTAGAGCAGTCACTTCCAGACCGATTTGGGCGACCGGTCGCCGAGTCGCGTCCGGTTGCTGAACCAAACATCGGCGCCTCGGAAGCGATGTGGATGTGCCTCTAAGTCAAACTTCTGTTGTGAGAGAAGCAACCAACACGTCGGTTCAACGCCTCGGTCCGCCGTATAGCGGCCGTGAATACAGAGCCACGGAGGTGGACAGCGCTTGGACAGCGTTAATAAAGAATATTCTCTTTTTTTTTTTGTAAAAGCAGCACCGCGATTTGAACGAACGCCCGAAAAATAACTCGGCCTAACAGCAAATCGAAGCTACTTTTTTCGTCTTGACAGATATGTACCACGTACTGCGACGCAGTAGCTCGAGCGAGTGCACGCCGATGTAGCGATTGTGTTTTCTTGCAAGGTTCCCAAGGACCCAGGCAAACATAATAAGTGTTTCTCATACGGCGACGGTATCTGTGAGGCAACGAAAATGGAAAAGCAGCGAAACGCGCAACCGATCGCCTTGGCGGGGTGCACGGTATCGACGGCGGTTCCCGAGAGCTTCCGAGGAGTGAGTGACTCGCCGGTAGCGACTCGCCGATCGCCCGCAGTGTGAAGGTCGGTGGTCGCTTGTCGCTAGTTGCTCGCTCGAGTTTCGCTAGTTGCAAGTGTGAACGCTCCTCAAGTATGCCCCAATCGCTCGTTTGATTTTTGATCCGTAACTTTGAGATCAGCCTAAACCTTCCGTGCAAGGTATTCCATGCTGATTAAAAAAAAAAAAAAAAAAAAAGAACAATTCACAGGACACTTTTGCCAAAATAGTAAGTAGTAACTAAAATTACCTACTTCGCAGATATTTATTAGCTTGAAATTTGTTAGGAGCAATTTCCTTTTGGCGCGCTTAAGGGCCACTTACTGTATGACCGGTGCTAATTATTTATCGACTTATTTTCTTTTATTTATCAAACCTTCAACGCCTACAGCATTATAAAGGGGGGATTAACAAACACCTGGACATGCAAAATGAGCAAAGGCACATAGTAACCAACATAAATAAGTTACGCATCTCGCTATTATGGTAAAGCTATGTGAACATCACATGTACATTTTTTGCTATAAGAATGGACATATGCTAAGAATTCCTAATCTCTGGTTTGTTTTAGAAGAGGCGACATGTTTACCAATGCGCAAGTGTCGCGGTCGTGCGCGCAGCAGTTGGAGAATCGTGGTGGTATAGTGGCGAACTCATGCCGTCAAGACTTTATTACAACAACCTGAAGATGAATACGGACGTCTGTCGGAAACATAACACGTAGAATTCATTAACTAGTCCTTGCGACGCACGCTGCCACGCCTGCCATTATCGGCGAGTCCTCTTCCCGCAGTTGGTTGGACTTCGAATTTTGAGTGAACTCGTTTTCTGTGGTATTTCATCCGAACCTAACTTTTGTCGATGGCAGCTGGCCAACTACGGAACAGGAGGGCATTACCTGCCGCACCACGACTACCTCTACGATGTGTACGAAGATTCTGACGAGGTGAGTAGTATGAAGGTCTTTGTTTTTATTGTCGTATGGTTGCTGCTGAGATCAGGTTGATTCCCACATTAGCATTGGAGTGTGCCCGAGTGCGTTGCGTTTGCTTCTAAGCGCTTGCTAAGCGCTTGCGACGGGAGAGAATAATGAAACACTGGCGCTACCTATCGGCTAGCCCTGGAATAATTCCGATCCGCGTAAAACTAGTCTGAATGTTTTTTTGGTATTCGCGAGATCAAATCTACAGGCATTGTCTGTCAGCAATGATTTCTCATAATGTTGTCACAATCATATAAAGCCCACAGTGTAAGAATGATGTGTAATAATTACAAAATAGATGCGCAAATCAGAAGTTGTTTTCAGGATACATAATAGGATGCGCCAATGCGTTAATGTGTTTTCAAGCGTGCCCGATTGAACGCAAATGTGTGAACCAGTTTTCAGTACGATGGCTAAAGCAAACTATTAAGAAGTATACAAGAGTAGCAGAAAACACCGTATTGGCTGCTTACACACGTTAAAACCCATAACGAGATAAGAACGTAGAAATGATACCCCCATACAACGTGTTTCAGTAAAGTGTTAATTTGTTCTTCGACTCGGGTTTCTCACGGGTCTAACATTACTTAGCTCGCTTGCCCATTTACTTTGTCATCAAATATTGGCCATGTGCCCGTTTCCAGGCTTAACTCTGGTCAAGCAATTTTCTCTTTGAAGATAAATATCGTCTTTTCCTAAGGTATATTTACTTTTCTAGGGAGGCATCTTCAAAAATGATACTTTCTAATGAGTGATATTTCAGTATCGCAGAGTGTGTATCGCATGTTGTTTTAGGAGCGCATATGTTTGACAGTTTTCGCTGTTCCAACAGACCGAGTGTTTTCAGCAGGGACTCATATCGTAACCGTAACCAAACCGTATAGGAACGACATTTATTCAGGAATCGTAACCGGAACGAAACTGTTATTTGAAATTTATTAAAACCGTAACCGTAACCGTAAATTATTTACCGTTAGCCGAACCGATGTTAACCTCAAAATAAAAATACCAGTCTTTCTCAAGAATGACTTCGAATAGGATTCTTTAAATGTAGTGGCACAGAGTTACCGTAGGGAGTGATGCATATGCTAACACATTCCCGTTCAATTTAATTTTAGGTCTAAGTATGCTTAGTGGTAGAGCTTATAATGAAAAGTCTCTATTCGAAAAAGTGCGACTACGGTTCGACTGTTATGCGCATGCACGACGGCCTGGCTCAGTTTGCTTTGGATTGGATCGTGATGCCCAAATTATCAGGTCAAACATTCTACTTTTAGCAACGTTACTAAAACACTCAGTTGGGAAACTCGCCGTCGAAACCTGGGCCGCTGGCGTCCACCGAGACCGAGCTAAATGCGACAACAGCGCCACTCTTTTTCGTTTGTCTGTACTATGGTCACCTCGAGCTTTTTGAAAGCCTGTTTTTGCGTAAAAACAAACGGAAAAGACTCTTTTTGTATGAAATTTATTGGAGTTCAGTACCAAATGATGGGCGCGTGATGTTTTTATCATCTTTAGTTCGCAAGGTTTTGCGGAACAATTAATATTGTTTTTATAAAACCATGCCTCAGCGGGCCTTTCAGGTAGCGCGTCCCGACCTAGGTGCATTTTAACTTCAGTAGTTCAACGCGGCGCGTCCGCCGGGGAGACGGGGGTTCACCCCTGTCAAAGCCAAAAATAGAAGTCACGTGCAGTTCTTCGAGAGGCCGCTGCGGAAGAAATGGTGGCGTTGTGTTCGTCATTAGCTCGGTGCTCGGAGACAGATTGGGGCCATATTTTTAGGGCTGTCTCTATGGGAGTTTCCCAACTGAGTGTTTTAGTAACGTTGACTTTTAGTAACGGCAGCATTGAGTGACTGTTTTGGTAACATAGCAATATTACATTATGTTATTAACTTTTAAGTTATTATAATTATGTTCCGTTGATTTTAACTATTTTTAAAATAAAGCAACCTTTTCGGTAATAACCTTCTCTTCAAATCTAGACACTCCTGTAGCAAAGTCTAGCCACACTGACAACGAAGTCGAACCTTGTAGAACCGGGTTAGAAGGTCGAAGGTTCGTTGAAACAGTTGAACCTTGACGTTCAACGTAAGAATCCAGCTCAAAGCTCGACGAAATGTTGTGACATCCCTAGTTGTGACATATCTGTAAAGGAAGATTTTTCTTGCAAACTCGGAAGAAAAATGGTGCCACTTAGTATATTACTAATTGCACAATTTTTTTAGCGTCACAGAATCGGACAGTTAGAATTGTGCTCTTTTTTAACAACATGCATTTGCTTAGAAATAACAAACATGAAAACGAAGTCTAGGGAAAGGAACGAACAGCACAGGAAATGTTTTTACAGCTTTCTGTGTTGTCCTTTCCTCCCCTTAGTCCTTCTTTTGCGCTATTGCATTTACATTAAGTTTGACTTTCACCAACTAGCCCAGCTCTCAATTTTTTCACTTTATTCCACTTCGCCGTATTTTAATAAAAGAGAACTATAGTTCTGTTTCTTCCTTCAGTGTGGGCGAAGCCTCTTCCGCACATCTTAGGTTGCAGAAAACTAAAGCGACGAGAAGGTGCGAATTGTTTTTTCAGCACCCAGTGGCAACTTTCTGAGAGTTGTTTTCATACGCTGCCGAACAACAAACAAGCTATGTTTATTTTTATTTTTGTTATATACCGGGTGATTTAAGGAGACGGCAGGCTCTTTAAATCGACCGGGAAATTCGATTTCTTAACCTATCGCGCTACGACTTTGTGCAGCGTTCCCACAAATGGTGCTTTTTTTTTTTTTTTTTGTAAAATTTGCAAAGAGCGAACTTACCTGAGGAAAAAGTAAAGAAAGAAAAATGGCTTTGCTCCTATGGAAACGCAGCGACGCCACCGGTCTGCAAACAACACGGCGCCGTTTCGCACGGGAGACAAGAGATGGCGCAAGCGGTCACGACGCCACCTGCCGCCAAGGAACGAGCAGACGACGCCAAGAGCCGGCCCTTTCGCAGACAAGGAACTGCAGTTCCTTGTTGTTACCGCGCCTGTCTTTTTTGTTTCTGCGATTGTCGCCACCTGCGGAACGCTAGCCGCTTTTGAGTCGAAAAGATTGTCTGCTAAAAAGGCCTGCTCTCGACGCCGTATGCTCGTTCGTTGACGGCGTTCGTTGCGCCATCTCTTGTTTCCCGTGCGAAACGGCGCCGTGTTGTTTGAAGACCGGTGGCGTCGCTGCGTTTCCATAGGAGCTAAGCCTTTTTCTTTCTTTACTTTTTGCCTCAGGTAAGTTCGCCCTTAGCAAATTTAAAAAAAAAAAAAAAAAAAAATGCACCATTTGTGGGCAACGCTGCACAAAGTCGTAGCGCGATAGGTTAGGAAACCGAATTTTCCGGTCGATTTAAAGAGCCTGCCGTCTCCTTGAATCACCCGGTAGAATGCGATGATCGCCAAGTAGCGGGGTAGCATGTATGCTTGGGTATCAAACTATAAAATGCAAATATACGTAGTGAAGAGGCGTTGGAGCTAGAAACTAAGGCGTTTTTGAGTTTTTGTTATCGTGAATGTTCCGGTGTTGGGTATATAGGACCGTTTAGTACAAAACGGCTCTCTAGCATTTCAATAAAAGAAATGATTGGATAAACCGAAAAGAAACCCGGTTTTTAGCAACGCGGGATTGGTACCCGAAATTGTAAAGATTAAAACCGTAAAAAACCGAAACGAAACCGATATCAAGAGTAAACCGTAATCGTAACCGTAACCGAAACGTTATATTTTTCGGCCTGAATCTCTGGCTTTCAAGGCATTCAGGAAAAGTGGTAATTTATTTAAAAAAAATTAGCTTGCCAAGGGGTGACAACATCTGACGATGTGAAATATCCCAATAGTCAGCGTTTGAATGGCTAAAGCGCACATGAATTGTAGAACAATTAGGCAATCAATCGACTGGTGACGTAATAAACATGTTGACTTTGGCACCAGCAGAAATGGCCACCTGAATTAGAAGAGTTAACGTAACAAACAACAAACCGAAAAAAGTGGGTTCACTTGCTCGTTAAACAAGGTGACAGCTAATCACGGCCAACAATACAAGCATGCTAGCGAATGACTAAGCTTGGGAATACGATTGGACCCAAAGAATGCGATGTGCACGGGGACAACGAGCAAACGAAACGCCATACTCACCATATTCCTAAGTGCACGGAAGTTAGCTTTTTGTCTAATCGTATTCTGAGCTCCGTCATTCGCTGGAATCCTTGAATTCTTAGTCACGATTGGCTGTCATCTTGCTCAGAAAAAAAGTATATTCGCGTACCCATTTTAGAATGCATGCTGGGGAACCAGCTTTAAAAAAAGTGCACGATTTCTATTTGTTGTTTTTTTCTTGATTTTTCTACTTGTCTTACGTATCTTTGTTACCTTTTGCTGGCAGTGTGAAAGATCAACGTGATGAGGACCTTTGTCACTAGCAGTTCTTACGTTTCTGCTTGAATCTCTCTGAAGGCGGACATTATAGAATCCTAAATAAATCCTAAATAGAATGCTATGGTCCCTAACAGCTTAAGGAACTCAAGGCGCAGTGAGTCTTGAGCACCTTATTATCGCTTCGCAGCCAATGAGAATGCTGCCTCAGACAATAACAACTCCGAAGAGCGAATGAAAAAGAAAAGAAATGTACTTATAGCAGGCCACGCCATTGTGTTTCTTGAGCTCTGAGTGACCGCGTCTTTGAGTCGGCTTCCATAGAAGTGGTTCCTCGATTTCCACCCGAAGACGTCATAAAAGTGTCATGCTGTCGTTGGTCGCGATCCTGGCGGTGTCCCACCGGCGGCGGCGGAATGTGGCAGACGCAAGGAGGATATAATTTACCCCGTAAGTGATGACGCCACAACATGGCGCTCCGCTTCAAACAAGCATTTGCTCGGGCTGTTGTGATGGGCAAATACATAGGGGCTTGACGTGAGGTTAGAAATTGTCTGATAAAAAGGG